GCGGAGCGGCTAGGCTCGTGAGCCATGGACACTGAGCCTGCGCACCCAGAGCCTGTGCTCCACAACGGGAGAGGCCACAACAGTGAGAGGCCCGCGTACCGCAAAAAAACCCAACAAAACAAACAAACAAAAAACAGTAGTTAGCTAGTGGGAAGCAGCCGCATAGCACAGGGAGATCAGCTGGGTGCTTTGTGACCACCTAGAGGGGTGGGATAGGGAGGGTGGGAGGGAGGGAGATGCAAGAGGGAAGAGATATGGGAACATATGTATATGTATAACTGATTCACTTGCTTATAAAGCAGAAACTAATACACCATTGTAAAGCAATTATACTCCAATAAACATGTTTTAAAAAAAAGCCTTCTCTACCCCCAAAGTTATAAAAATATTCTCTTATATTTTTTCCTCATATTTTTAGAAGTTGTTTTTAATCCAACTGGAATCTATTTTTGTGAATGGTGTTTGTGTGGGATGGTGTAATCTTATGTTTTCCTAACGGATGGCCTATTTTCCCAGCACACCACGTTTTTTGTTTGTTTGTTTGTTTGTTTGTTTTTTGCGGTACGCGGGCATCTCACTGCTGTAGCCTCTCCCGTTGCGGAGCAGAGGCTCCGGACGCGCAGGCTCAGCAGCCATGGCTCACGGGCCCAGCCGCTCTGTGACATGTGGGATCTTCCTGGACCGGGGCACGAACCCGTGTCCCCTGCATCGGAAGGCAGACTCTCAACCACTGCGCCACCAGGGAAGCCCACATTTTCTTGAATAGTCCATTCTTTCCTTGCTAACTTACAAATGCTAAATTCCCATATAAACATGGATTTGATCTTGGACTCATTTTTCTGTTCAATTGCTCCGTTTGCTATTCTTTTTTTAATAAATAAATAAATTTACTTATTTATTTATTTTTGGCTGCATTGGGTCTTCATTGCTGTGCACAGGTTTTCTCTAGTTGTGGCGAGCGGGGGCTACTATTCGTTGCGGTGCGCGGGCTTCTTACTGTGGTGGCTTCTCTTGTTGCGGAGCACGGGCTCTAGGTGCACAGCCTTCAATAGTTGTGGCACGAGGGCTCAGTAGTTGTGGCTCTCGGGCTCTAGAGCACAGGTCCAGTAGTTGTGGCACACAGGCTTAGTTGCTCCATGCCATGTGGTATCTTCCCGGACCAGAGCTCGAATCCCTGTCCCCCGCACTGGCAGGTGGATTCTTATCCACTGCGCCACCAGCGAAGTCCCTCCTTTCGCTATTCTGATGCCTTTACTTCCTTACCTCCCATTCACTCATGGCAATCTAGTTTCTACCCACGACTTCCATGGAATTATTATTCCTAAGTGTATTAATGACCTTCTTGTTGCCAAACCCAATGGATCTTTTTCAGTTTTTATCTCTCTGGACACTGTTTATCATTCCCTCACATATGCTACATAATACAACTCTCCCTTGCTTCTTCTACCAATAAAAGTCACGATCATAACAATATCTTCTGTTCGTTAGTTACCCCGTGCCAGGCACTGTTTAAGCGTTTCCTAAGCCACACACGTGGAGTATGCCTCACCCATAAGCCTCTGGGTAGATATCAGTATTATCACCATCCCCACTTTACAGGAAACTGAGGCATAAAGAATTTAAGTGCCTAGTTGCAGTGTAAGCCCTGACAGTTGTAACTTGCATTTTTGTAACGCAAGTGTCTGATTTAAGCTTTGATTTCGGAGGCATCCACTTCAAAAAGGCACCTACTTCAAGGACAGCTATCACGAATAAACACACTGCCAGCCACAGAAAGATAAGGAACCAGCCCCGTCCACCCCCAACCCCACCCCAGGCTCCCTTGTTTTAAAGATATTGGTGGATTTCTATAACTGACCATTTAGGCCACTTGTTTTGTTCTCTCCCCACGTGTTAAATTCCCGCTCTTATGTTTTACATTCACCAATAAAGAGTAAGCCCGCAAAACCACAGGCTGCCTACCCTCGATCCCTATGAAAGCAGAACCCCAGGCCCAGGTGCTCTCTCTCTCTTTCTCTACCCTCGACCTCGCTGTGTAGCCCCAGGTGTGCCTTGTCCTTTCCAGAACCTGTGAGTAATTAAACCCTTTTTTCCCCTTCAAGTTTCCTAACGGTTATTACTGAGGGCATCTTGCAGTCATAATAAGAACCACAAGGGCCGGTCCAGCCGCAGCATTGGTTATGGATAGGCTGAGACCAGCACAAAACGCTTGTCCAAGATCCCTGAGCTAATAAGTAGCAAGATGGGACTTGAACCTAGGTCTGTCTGAGACCAAAGCCTTAAGTTCCTAAGCACACCCCTTTCCAGCCTGTCCTCTGTCTCCCTCTTGAGTTCCTTTTGCTTCAGCAGCTTTCAAATGGTGCCCTTCACGATATGGCCTTCGTCACTGCTCTTCTCAGTTTGCCCTCCACCCTGGGTAAAGCAGGGCCTTCTGATGCTGTCTTTCAGTGCAGCTGCACTGACCTATCTATGTCCTCATGGCCCTGTCAGAATGGAGAAAACACTGCTTTTTATTATAAATCCCTGGAGCTTACTCCACTTCTGTTCCCCAGCCCATTTCCCGGAGGCTTCTCATTTTTACTTACGCGAGTTTGTATTATTTGATATAAGCACGTATCACATTTATAATCAGGAAAAACAGTAAGGATATTAAAAATATAAGAGAAGTAGGTTAGCCTCTAAGGGGCTCTATCAGTTTGGCCCTCCCAAACGATCATTATGCAGGCGTTTTCCAATGTTAGATATGTCGACTATATGTTACTGAGAACTGTGAAAAATTTAATGGAGAAGATGCTGAGCAATCTGCAGCTGAGATTAATCACTCATATTGTGACCCAAATATCCCCTTTCCCCAGGGTTTAATTTATTCTCCACCAAACAAGATTAGCACAATATGCAGGCCTATACAAAGCAGAGGTGTCCTTTGTCTAGAATTTCAAATGGAAAACAGAATTCAGTTCAATTATTAAGGAGCTAAATATATTTATTCATTATAAGGAAATGAGTATGGCTGTTGTTATTTTAAGGGAGAAATAGAAGAATTTGGGATACAGTTCATCTGAGAAGCAAGGGAATCCTCAAAGGATGAGCACTTTGCTCAAAATGATTAATGACCTTTTCTGTGAAGAGCACCTGTGATAACCATGTGACTTTTAGTTAAATGCAGATGGTGCCTGACGCCCTCCCCCTCCCTCAACCCAGCCCTCATCTCGTCCTCATCTGAGCCTCACTCCAGCCCTCACTGGCACACCATTCTCAACCACCCACAGTCTCTCCTCCTACCTCTCTGCTTATTCCAGCTCGGTCTCTTTCCAGGATGTCTTTTCCTCCATCTGCTAACTTAATATCCTCAGGTTTTTATCTTTAGCCCAGCGTTCATCTCACTCGGCTCCAATCCCTGGATGATCTTACGTGTGTCCGTGGCTGGAACATATCACCTATACCTTGATAACCCAAGTCTGTTTACAGCGCAGACCCTCTCCTGACCTCTAACCCTGCATATTCAGCTGCCTATCCTCTCTCGATGGTCCGCAGGCAGCTCAAACTCAACACTTCCTAAACAGAGCTGATTCTTCTTAAACCTGGTTCTTACGGTAACTCTTACTGAATGCTGCCAACCATCTGTCCACTCTCCTAAGCCAGAAATCCAAGCCTCATTCTAGGTTCTTATTTTGCCCTCCCAACCCCCAAGTCCTGTTGAGTCTACCTACTCAGTAGTTATCAAATCTGTCTCCTCTTCCCTGCCTCAGCACCTGTCATCGCTGGCCTCGATCAAATTGGTCCAACAGGGCTTCCCTGGTGGCGCAGTGGTTGGGAGTCCGCCTGCCGATGCAGGGGACATGGGTTCGTGCCCCGGTCCGGGAAGATCCCACATGCCGCGGAGCGGCTGGGCCTGTGAGCCGTGGCCGCTGAGCCTGCGCGTCCGGAGCCTGTGCTCCACAGTGGGAGAGGCCACAGCAGTGAGAGGCCCACGTACCGCAAAAAAAAAAAAAAAAAAAAAAAAAAAAATTGGTCCAACAGTCTCCTAATTGGTCTTCCTGCTCTCCAGCCCATCTCCATACTATCCCAAAGCCCCCTCTTCAAATGACTACATCATTCTACTTCATAAAGCTTTTCAGTGGCTCCTTATCTACACATTCTACAAACCCCTCCATGATCTGGTCCCTGCTTACCTCTTCAGGCTCATCTCCCCTCACTTTTCCCCCAGCTCACGCCAAGCACCGGCCCAGGGGCACAGCAGGTATTGCGGGGCCCTAGGTTTACACGATTTGAAGGGCCCTCCAAGAAAGATCAAACACCACAATGACTAGAAATTAGTTCCAGGGCTTTGGAGGTGCGTGTGCAACTGAGGGCCCTGAAACAAGCTTCACTAGCTTCACAGTAACTCTACCCCTGGTCTAGCCAAACAGAGCAAGCTCAGTCCCCTAGAACATGCCACAGTCTTCCACATCCCTTTGCCTCTGTACAAGCAGCTGTCCCTGCCCGGGATGCTGTTCCCAACCTTCCCTTGTCTGTCCAGCAAAATCGTTCACCCTTCAAAGGCCAGCTCAGGGGCACCTCCTCTGTGCAGGCCTCCCTGACCTCCCTGCATGGAGCTGACTGTTCTCTCCTTCATGTTCTCATTGTAGCTTGTCCTTTACCTCTGTGTACCCTGTCCTTTACAGAGCAGGTCACACTCAAAGGAACTTGTTTGTTTAAGACCAGGTTTCCCCGTGAGTCTTTGCCTCAAGGGCAGAGACAAGGTCATTCCTTTTTAGACTGTCAGAGCACGGCAGTACCTGGCTCAATAAATGTCTGCCGAATGGAACAGAAAAACATCCTGCTTTTGGCAAAGTGTGTGGAGTAGAACACTGAAATAGACAGGGACCCTGGGCAGAGGCGGCGCTAGTGAGCTCTCTGCTGCCGGCCTGCATCATCTGAGAGGTCCAGCGTCCGGACCCCAGTGGTGAGCTCCTCCCCGTGGCCTCCCAGTAGCCTCCCCACCCCACCGCCTCCCTTACCTGTCCTCCTTGTTGATCTGATCCCCGAAGCCCACTGTGCTAACAATTGTGAGCTTTAGCCCCACGTTGCTTTCTTGAAGGTCATATGTATTGGACTGGAGCTGGACACCCGGCTGTGTGTGGGTGGCTGGCTCCCCCTCGAACTTGGTGTTGAACAGGGTGTCCATGAGGGTGGACTTGCCCAAACCTGTCTCTCCTGAAAAACAAAAGAATGAATTATGATGCATTCACACAATGACCACGCAGCCATTACGCATCATGTTTCGGATGCGTATTCACTGACATGGGAAAATGTACACGGTAAGACACTATGTGAAGAGCACATAGAACTACATGGACTATTTGATCTCAGTTAAGTGCAAAAGAGTATAAGGAATTGCACCAACATATTAACAATAGTCATCTCAGGATAGTGGAACTGAGGTAATTTTTCTTTCAGTCTTCATATTTTTGTGTTATTTGAAAATTGAGTATGCATCTTTTTTATAGTCAGAAAAAGAAACCGTGTTAAAGGCAGTGATGGCGAGGTAGAGTTATGCCTAGAAAAACACTGGAAGGGCGTACAATGTACTCTTACCAACGGTCATGTCTGGGTGGTGGGGTTATGTGCGCTTTTCACTTCTTTCTTTATGCTTTTCTCTATTTTCCAAGTTTTCTACAAGGAACGCGTATAGCTTTCATAATAAAAATTTAAGGGCTATTTTCAAGTTTAAAAGAAAGGGACAGCAGTCCCTCATCAAATAAGTATCCTCTCCTCTCAGTCCCCACCTCTCCCTGCCAGGCCCAGATAGCACCCGGATATGCATCCCAGTGGGGAGACCGTTTTTGCTAATGGAGAGGGAATTTAGCAGGCCACAACTTATTCTTCCCTTTAAATTTCAAACAAGCCAGTCAGTTGTCTGTTTAACTAACAGGCTGCCGGGATACTAATAAATTAAACCCCTGGAATTTCAAAACCACTGGCTTTTGCACCAGGGCGATGAGTCGGGGAAGGGCTGCGGGGACTGGTGAAGGTTTGTGGAGGTTATTCCTGAGAGACGCAAAGGATGTCAAGTCACTGCCAGGAACCAAGGACTGCGCTTTGAAGACCCGGGCTACCCTGCTGTTCCGCTATCATCACCCCTCTTCTTCCTTTCCCTGCTCACAACCCTTGAGATGTGGGAATTGACACATCTTCCCAGTTGAGAATGGGGCGAGTGGGTTTGCCCTGGGCAAATCCTGGCCTGGCAGGTCCCCTCTTGTGACCGACAGCACATATCTGCAGGGCAGTCCAGGGCTAGGGTTCGAGCTGCATGACCCATAACCGTAAATGGTCCATCTCCCCTCCCACCTCTGGGTGTGTCTAGCTTTGCATCTTGCAAACCTTTTATCCCGAATAATGAGCTATGAATGCAGGAGGTGCTTTTAAAAATATCTGTCTATGGGCTTCCCTGGTGGCGCAGTGGTTGAGAGTCCGCTTGCCGATGCAGGGGACGCGGGTTCATGCCCCGGTCCTGGAAGATCCCACATGCCGCGGAGCGGCTGGGCGCGTAAGCCATGGCCGCTGAGCCTGAGCCTGGAGCCTGTGCTCCGCAATGGGAGAGGCCACAACAGTGAGAGGCCCGTGTACCACAAAAAAATATATATATATCTGTCTATGCTGAGAGCTTTCTGTATGTGGAGGGATCAGTGAGAGAGGGAGAGAAAACAAGGAGAATATTCAACTCAGCCTGGCTGCCCGGCCCCCCAGCCCAATTTCAGAGCCAGGTCTGACTAATGTGGTTGATCGCCAGGGTGCAGGGGAATGGTTCCTCACACAGATCGTGCTTCCAGCCAGGGTCTGCTATACCTACTAGCAGCAAAGACTCTCCCAGAAGAGGCCCTTTTCTCCCTCCCTAAAGGAACAGGAAGTATTTGGGTCCCCAGAAAAACTTGGTGAGGTGGGAAGTGGCAGACTTGGCTAAGCAATGGAAGAAATCGCCCCCCTCCCTGCCCAAGGTGCGGGTGCCGCTCCACTGCAAAGGGGCGGGCACCTCTGAGACAGGAACACAGGGTGGCTGCCTCTCCCTAACTCGCCTTCCCTCTGGGCGTTGAAGCTTAAGCTACATTTTCGCCGGTCTTTGTACGTGCCTAATACATTGTCCATGTACGTCCCCACTTTCAGACCCTCTCTCTGCTGTTCTGTGAGCTCTTTGCTCAACGCCCCGCAGCTCCTAGATCGTGGCGGGCCCTGACTCCCCAGCACCCAGAGCTGGCTCCCTGACTCCCTGATCCTAAGACTTCTCAGAGAGCAGGGGATGGGCAACTTCTGGTACTCCCCGGAGCACCTAGCAAGAGGCTCACACAGAGGCCTCAGGAGCAGTACCACAGAGGGAAGGGCCCGCCCTGTTTGCGCAGCTGTAGAAAGGCAGGCCGGGTGGGCCGGGCAGGGCAGGGCAACGGGGAAAATGACCACCCGGACGCCTGCCAGGGCAAAAGGGCTGTGGAAATTAGATGCTCAATGATGAGTGTCTGGAAGAAAAGACCCGGCGGGTGTCTAGGGAACTGTGATAAATGCAGCATGAGAAGAGGGCAGAAAATCAAGTGTGCTTGTCCCGTTCCAGTTTTCCATCAATGTGGAGCCTGGGGGCGGGGAGGGGTGGGAGCTCTCTCTCTCGATGGCTGCCACAGACCCAGCCTGAGCCTGGGATGTTGTCCTGGGCCCGGTACTGAGCGGGGGAGGGGAGCCACTCTCGGCTCAACTCAGATCAGGTCAGCAGATTCCCCACCCCTGCAGGAAGGTAGGGACTCTTGGCAATTAGATTCCAGCAGGAAACCTGAGGAGTCCTGAGGGCTCAATTTCTCTCTCCTCCTCCCCTCCTCAGAGTGTACAGCGGGGTTTCTTAACCCTTTTTAAGTCATCTCCACCAGCCCAGAGGATTTCCTCTCACTTGACTTAATGTAGACAGGATCCTGGAAACACCAAGTTTTTAAAAAAGAATTCAATTTAAAACATGGAATATGAAATCTGCTTTTTCAAACTATACTCCCTGGGCTAGTCTGATGTTGACCTCTCCACCGGGAGTTCAAAACCACTTTGACAAAGAAAAGCTTAGCCCTTTTCCTCATCTGCTGTTAACATTTGCATCCTCTGGTACCTTGCGCAATTAAGTCCTTGCAAGTGATGAAATGCAGAGTCCCAGGCAGGTTATCACTAAATGACTGTGACCTAAGCCTAGCCCTTCCCCTTCTCTGGACTCCAGCCTCTTTTTCCATAAAATGAGCAGGTTTGAGTGGTAATAATAACAGCTATTGCTTCTGGAGCACTTACTATGTGGGCACCACTGTAAATACCTTACATATATTTCCTTATTTATTCCCTAAAATAAGGCTGTGTATTAGACAGTACTACTATTTGTCCTTAACTTACAGATGGATTAACCGAGCCACTTCCTAGCTGTGTGAATGTGCCCCTGCTCTTCAGTCTCTCTGCACGTCACATCCCTCATCTATAAAATGTGGAGGAAGAAACTGGCCCAGGGTCACAAAAGTAGTATGTGGCAATGCCAGCATTTGACTGCAGGCAGTCTGACACTGGAGCCCATGCATGTTCTAGTGCGCCCCATAGGTGTGATATGTTGTTTCATTCAGTCATTCGACAAATATTTAGAACCTTTAATAGGAGCCAGGCACATGTTTAGGAGCCGGGGATACAGCAATGATCAGGAGCTAGTCTCTTCCGGCTCCGAATGTTGGAATAAACCAAGAGAAACGTCTTTGAGTTCAACCGGAAGGTGTCCAAAAGGGAACTCTCCAGGAACTCCTGTTGGCCAAGGGAGCCTATGGATGGTGACGAGGTCCTGCCTGGCTCTGTGACCTTGCCCTCTACTTCCTCCTGATCTTGCAGAGACCTGGCAAGACCTGGTGTGCTGGAGCCGGCTCGCCCAGCTTCCTGCAGCTCTTCCCAAGCCCATGTGCAGTGACGTCATGTTGGCAGCTTAAAACCAGCTATGGTGGGAATAATGACAGCACAAAAACTGGTAAATGCTACAAACCACGGCAACTTTTCTCCTGAGAGTGGGTTGTTTGACGCTGACCGGCACACCACCGCTGGCAGCCTGTCTTATGCAGGTGGACGGCTGACTCTCCCAGAGATGGAGAGATGAAACCATCGCTCTCTGACCCTGAGAGAATGCTAGCTGCCCTTCCCCTCCTCCTGCACTGAGCCTCAATCCTGCTTCTCTTGTATGTTTTTTGTTCCAAGTTCAACAGAGCCCAGTTGAGCCTGGAATCCTGAGCAGTTTCAAAGTAAATATTAGCATTATGACCCTTTGCGCTTGTCACAGGCATTCTCTGTTGCTGGCACATTCAGAGGGCTGAGTCTCTTTGGGGCTCTTTCCCAGCAGAACGTTTGCACTGCTGACTCTAGTGGTTCCTCCAACGCCTCCTGTACTATATCTAGAATCCTGGGATCCGAGTGATTTCCAAAGCTAAGCTAGTAGACTGGGAGTGGGCTAGTAGATTTTTTAGAACAGGAGGGGGACCTCAGCCCACTCGGTAATTACTGTCAACCATAGCGTCTGTTGGAGAGGAGCCATAATATGCTCACACCCATGTGCCTGGCCCTCTAAAAATAATGATCGTAGGTGTCATCATCAGTGCCCTTATGTATAAATTACGCTCTTGATTCATAAAAATTCTCCCTCTCCACCCCAGCATGCACATGTGCACTTATGCACGGAGGGTACTCACTCCACTAGGCTGGGGCCTCTGATCAGCAGCCCAGCACCACAATAAACAATACTGTGATAAAAATATTCTAGATCTCTGTTAATAACCAAAGCCAGTGTTACCATAATTTTACACTCAAAATGCCCTATCGGAAAAGAAAAGAAAATCCTTTGGGGAAACATATTCTATGCCCAAACAGAACCGTTTTATAATCGTCATTAAGGGAGTAAAGCTGACCGCTATGCACAGGCAGTAGGCATGAAAGTATGGTCGCTGAAGGTCCTGCGAGAGAAACAATCACCTTCAGCAGCCAAGCTATGGATCCTTCGTCACGTCGGTGACGCTACCCAGTCCCACGGCTGGGCTGAGATTGCAGCCTTAGAGCCACCGTAGCTGCCTGTGACTCTGGCCCAAATTGTGGGTTCTCAGAGCAATGACAGGCTTCTGAGCCCAGCCAGAGAGGGGGATGCATGAGTTGCAGGCTTTTTTGGATCAGGGATGGGGATGCAGTTAACCAGTCTGGGCGGGTGCATCCAAGGGGTACACCTGCACGGCTAAGAGGGGACCTATTAGGGCAGCCGTTTCCTGAAACTTCATAAGTAGAGAGAGAAAGAGGAGGTGACTCCTTGGGTGTGAGGGTCTCCTTTCTACCCTTCCCCTCTTGGAGGGTCTGTCCTGGGCAGTTGAGCGATTCCATGCCCGCAGGTGCACAGTGAAGCAGCTGCATAAGTACGATGCCTGGGTGGGTAGGGGTTTACCATTTCTCCCACTTGGGACTTCCCTGGTGGTGCAGTGGTTAAGAATCCGCCTGCCAATGCAGGGGACACGGGTTCCACCCCTGGTCCGGGAAGATCCCACATGCCGCGGAGCAACTAAGCCCGTGCGCCACAGCTACTGAGCCCGCGAGCCACAGCTACTGAGCCTGCGAGCCGCAACTACTGAAGCCTGCACACCTAGAGCCCGTGCTCCACAACAAGAGACGCCACGGCAATGAGAAGCCTGCACACCGCAATGAAGAGTAGCTCCCGCTCGTGGCAACTAGAGAAAGCCCGCGCGCGGCAACGAAGACTCAACGCAGCCAAAAATAAAAATAAAGAAATAAATAAATATTTCTCCCACTCACTTTGCCTTGAGCTTGGCTGCCTCTTCCTCCGGGCCCTAGGGGAGCCTGTGGACCACATGTCCAACTACCCTACGCTGCCGCCCTCAGAGAGCCATCCTGACCTATGCGGCCTCCCTCCTAAAGCTTTACTAGCCCACCCAATTGCACTTGGTTTGAGAGGCTGATGAGGGTGGGCCTGTCACTTCACTTCTCATCCCCTCAACTTCAATGCAGGTCACCCGGAGCTCTGGGAGGAATGCCAAGGGACTCCAATATGTTTGTGTGGGAGTTTTTCAGTAATCAAATGTTATGTGAAATAAGTTGGCCGTCAGCCAAAGATGGGAGAGGTCTGGCAGTGCTAATATTGGATGTGATGGCATTTGATCTTGATGTCGATCACCATGACTGCTGTTTATTTTGTATCCCTCTCCTATTAGCACCTCATCGTAACCATGGGTAGACTTTTGGCATCTGAAGAATTAACAGCCTAGATCTGGACTCTCAGGCCCATGACATGTAAATTTGTGAAGCACATATTTTCATCTCATAGGTTCCAAAGCTGGTGCGTGAGAGTGAGTCATTTCACTAGTTAGTGAGCCTAGCTGACTGCCTGTCAACCATACTTAGAAGTGGCTTTGTTTTCTCTACTTGTCCTTGAGCGTGTAGCTAATTCTCCGACAGAAAATGATCTGAGGAGTGCCAGGGAGGGAGAAGAAAAAACAGAGTCCAAGAAAATGAATGACCTTAGTTACAAAACAGAACTTTAGACTACATTAGAGAGTAGAATATCCAATTCAGTAGTGGTTCACACCCTCAGTATGAATGAATTCCCCGTATGCTCTGTACAAAAACAGGAAAAGGCAATTAGCAAAAGTGTTTTGAGTGTTCCGACCGGGCATGAAAACTGCCATTATTATGGTATTTATAGAATCATTAAGGTTTGGAGGTATGTCACTAAAAATATGCAGGTACGCCTTACTGCACTGTATAGTGAAAATTATACACTGTGATCGTGTTTGCAAATTTGGGATTATTTAAGGTCTAAGGAGAGATTCTCAAAGAATGTCAAGGAACTGCTGTTCCTGAGATTTGTTTGGTTGGTGCCTGACAGTTTCCAAAGTGCTTCTGCATTCTTAAGAGATGTCTCTGGCAGCGGTTACCAAAGCAGTGGGAGGGACAAAGGGTCAGGCAGACCTGGGTCCCTGTCATGGCTCTGCCACTTATTTAGTGTTGCCTCAGGTAAGTCCCTTATCCCCCCGAGTTTCTTGGTCTCCGTCTGTTCCATGAGGATATGAATGCCACTTGGTCTGTTCACTTCCCAGAGTCCTAGTAAGGACCCAAATTGTTAACATGGGAAAGTGTTTGAGAAATGTAGTGAGTGGTTCCTGCGGGGATAATTCATGCATTCATTTCACATACATTACTGCACTCTCTTTGTGCTGTAATTAGCACAGTAGAGGTAACTAAGACATGGTTCCCACACTTGAGACTAAAGGTCCAGGCACAGATACACTTAAAGGGAATAAAAAGAACTTGGCACACAGCTGTGTGGTGCCTGCACAGAGCTCAAACTGTACCAAGCACAGCAGGGCTGCAGAGGAAACAGACCCAACCCACTGCCCACAGCTGGTAAGCAGGCATCTTTCCACAGCCATTACCTCCCTCCCACTTCTGCCCTGGCTCCTATTTTCTGCAGTCAGAACAAACCTGATAAGAGTAGCTGAGCCAGCCAGCTCCCTTACAGAATTTCCACTGGGTGTCACGCAGCTCAGCTCCCCCCAAGGTATGGCCCCGCATTCTGGTCTGGGCAGGGAAAAATGTAACTACAGCCAGCTGCTCACCAAAACAAGCAGAGGGATAAAAGAAGAGGGGCAGAAACACTCCTGCAAATAGATCAGAATGACACAGTATTGAACCTAATGACCTGCAGAGCCACACCCAGCCATTAAGGATCCATATTCTGTAATAGAATTTCCTGCTATGGAAATACTCACCCACGCACAGGATGTTGAAGCAGAAGCCCTGGCTGATTGACTGATTCACCAGCTGGTCGGGCAAGCTGTCAAACCCCACATGTCCAGCCAGCGGGACAGTTCGGCAACCTTCACCCTAATTTGGAAGGGGAGGGAGGGGAGAAAATGAAAATGTGCTTAAAAGCAACCTGGGTCTCACTTCCCCATCCAAATGCTCTCTGTGCTAGGAATTAACACCCACTGGGGCCCATCTCCCCTTAGCTAGTCCCTGATCCAAAACAAAATGACCCATTCGCTTAGAAATCGTGGATTCTTGGGTACAGTCATCCTTGAGGCTCCATAATGAACGTCACATAGTTCCAGACACAGCAAACTACAGAGGCGGCTTGTAAGGGGTGGGAGGGCGGGGGGTCAGGGGATGAGAAGGTTCCCAGCCTTGGGTTAATTCTCCTCACAGAGTCTCAGTTTCCTTTCACATCTGTCAAATGACATAATATTACCTTCCAGATGATTGGGAGACTCAAATATGCCAACACATGTAACGACCTTAGTAAAATGCCTGGAATACGTATACGTGTTCAGTAAATATGACAAAGGGACTTCAAAATGCAATTTCTCTTCTTGGGACTTCCCTGGTGGTCCAGTGGGTAAGACTCCTCGCTCCCAATGCAGGGGACCCAGGTTCAATCCCTTGTCAGGGAACTAGATCCCGCACACATGCCGCAACTAAAGACCCCTCATGCCCGTGACTGCCATCTGGCAAGATTGTTACCCTCACATATCTCACCCCACACGCTCCAGTGTAGTAGTCTCAACAGACAACCATATGCCATCATTCAGTCCTGGGTGGTATATTCTGGGCCCCAGAGGGGTACCTGAAGACAGCTGGGTTTTATGAGTGGCCTACATCACTCAGGGCTACATTCGCCACCTTTTGCTTTCCCTCACCCTTTTCTCCATCTTTTTATCAAAGCAATCAAAAAAAGATGTAAGGGGCTTCCCTGGTGGCGCAGTGGTTAAGAATCCGCCTGCCAATGCAGGGGACACGGGTTCGATCCCTGGTCCGGGAAGATCCCACATGCCGCGGAGCAGCTAAGCCCACACGCCACAACTACTGACCCTGAGCTCTAGAGCCCGCGAGCCACAACTACTGAGCCTGCATGCCACAACTACTGAAGCCCGCGCACCTAGAGCCCATGCTCCGCAACGAGAAGCCACCGCAATGAGAAGCCCGCGCACCGCAAGGAAGAGTAGCCCCCGCTCACCGCAACTAGAGAAAGCCCACGCGCAGCAACAAAGCCCCAACACAGCCAAAAATTAATTAGCTAATTAATTTTTTTTAAAAAAAAGATGTAAGTTTCCCACTGTTCATTCTTGGTCCTCAAGACTGCATGGGAGACAGAAACCTAAGAGCCAATATGCTTTCTCAATGGAGCCTCCTATTTAGCAGGCATTGGAAATTGGGAGGGACTCAGAGTTGAGGTTTCCTGAGCCATATATCATCACCCCCTGCTGCCTCTTCCTGTGTCCAAATTCAGCATCATGAAACTTCAAGTGCTCCAGGGCGTCTGGTCCAAGTGCCAAAAGATGAGGAAAGGGAATTTTCAAACTGAAGACAGTAAAGGGCAGTGGGGAGAACTCCACATCTTATTCTTAAAGATTTATTTCATTGTCAAGCCTCACCCAGGCACCTCCCACGTGCCCACAGTTATCTCCCACCTAGCCCAGTGCTGTGAGAGCCCAAAATAGCAGAAGAAAGAGCATGGACTTTATTCCCTAGGCAATGGGGTTTGAAAGGGGCATTTTGAGTGTTTTGAGCAGGGAGGGCCATGACACAAGTAGTCTTTTCAAAAGATCATTCCAGCTGCAGGGCTGCAGGGCGCTTGATCGCTGGGAGGAGAGAGGGAGAAGGGGCAGGAAGACATATTAGGAGAGGACTCCAATAACACTGAACTGGCAGAGTGACAGCCAGGCACTGTGACGATAAATGCTGCATGAAGTGAACTGATCTGACTTGGGACTCAGGAGGGAGGAACAAATTTGAGAGCCGTCCTAAAGAAAGGATGAGACTCGGTGAATGATTGGGCAGAGAGTGCAGGAGCAATCAAAGCTATAAGGCTGCAAGGTCCTGCGCCTGGGAGATTGGATTGATGGCACCAAGGGCAGAAAGAGGGAAGCCAGGAAAGGGTGCTTTAGTGGGAAAGTCGAAGATTCTAGTTTTAAATAGCCATTATTTTAAAATTACACTTATCAGGTTTTTTATGAGTAATCCATGTTCGCTGTAGAAATTTTAAAACATGGAAAATTATAAAGAAGAAAATAAAAATCACCCATAATATCACTCTCCAGAGATAATCACTATTAGTATTTACATGTATTTCCCTACAGTCTATATATAATACTTTTTTGTTTGTTTGTTTGTTTACAAAATAGGGATAATCCTGTATATTCCTTTTCATCACCTGGCTTAATAACCGGACACTTAATGTAGTATGGATGTTCTCTTGAGTAATTAAGTATACTTCTAAAACATTACTTTTTTGGCCACATAGAATTCCATTGTGGGAATTTACCACATTTTCTCAACCAGTGAAATGTCTTCCACTACTAGACATTTAGCGTGTTTCCAAGTTTTCAACATTATAAGTAATAATTCTTGTTCTTACAGGTTTGCATAGTCTCTGATTATTTCCTTAAGCTAAATTCCTAGAATTAAAGCCTGCTGGGTGCAAGGCCACACACATTGGAAAGACTTTTGGTACACACTGAGAAATCATTCAACAGAGAATATTACAAATGTCTACTTCTAACGCCAGTATGCGAGAGTGTCTGTTTACACATACTTAGACCAGCACTGAGTTTGAGCCTTTTTAACCATTGTGAATTGAATCACTGCAAAATGGCATCATGTAACTTCATTTGCATTTTATTAGTGAGAGTGAACTTTTTTAATTGTTCAACTACATATGTGTATTGTGTCTATGTATATGCAAGTTGCCTATTCACGTCTGTGTCCATTTTCTTAAAATGGGTGCTTGTCTTTCTCTTCTGGATTTGTAAAAGCATTTTCTATACTAAAGAAAACAAGACAGATTTGATTTTATGGTGACACATCTACCCACTAAGTACTTAGCAATATGGGATTGTAGGCTCAGGGAGAATTCAGGACTGAGATATAAATTTAGCAGTGAGAGGTATGAAACTGGATGTGTTCTTCAAGAGACAGTACAGGGAGAAAAGAACTAAGGACTGAATATAAGCAATGCCCACAAGTAAGGAATGGGAAGATGAAGAGAATTCTTCCAAGGGGTGGGGGGATGATCAGAAAAGTAAGAGATGACCCAACAGTTTTCTATCACCAGAGGCCAAGATTGAAGTCAGGAAGAATTACAGAGAAACGACCATTGGTCTGGATTTGGTAAAGTCCACTGGTAACTTTTAGAATCCTTTTTTCTTCTGTATCTTTTTACCTGGTGTCCAATACACCTAAGTTAACTGGAAGGCTTGGGGACTAGCGAACATGGAATCTGGGTAATGCGTCTTTCTTGCTAATCAAGATTTAAGCAACAAACTGTATGTCTCAATCCTTGTAGCTGAGAAAGCTTCGAAAATGAATTTGTATATGCAGTTCCTGCTTTAGGAAATCCTGCCTAGCGAGCACCATCCACTCCTGCTTTGATGACTCTTAGAAGATGTCAAGGTCACCGTTATGAACATCAGTCCTCATTGTTCAGAGGTAAATACATAACGGTGAAAAGGACAGGACACTGGGCTGAATGGACACTGACCCCTGGACAGCCCCTGGAAGTTTCTTCCCTCTTCCCTCTCTAAACCTCCAATAGCTTATCTCTTTCCTCTTTCTCCTTAACGTGGCCTGATTAATTGAGGCCCTGACTGCTTTGATTGCAGCCAACTGAATGTTCCCTGGATTACAAAGCGCACAAAAGGAGATGGAACTGGCCACTTGGCCCAGGACGTCTGACACTGAAACCTTAAGTTATCATCTTGAGTAGCAGGTGGTGCCACGTTTGACACTTTGAACTGAGAGGCTAGAAAGGCCACAGCCACCAAAATGTTAAATGGCCCACCTCCCATGACCTGCAACCTCCCCTCGTGATCTACTCTACAGAGACTCACACGCCTGTACAAAGGTCCATGTACAGTACAAGGAAACTCATTACAGAATTATTTATAATACTGAAAACCTAGGGAAAAAAAAAACCTAAATGTCCGACGATGGGAAAAATATTGGGTTGGCCAAAAAGTTCGTTCGGGTGTTTCATAGGTTGTGACAGAAAAACCAAACAGTTAACTAAATTATGGTACGTGCATATTCTGGAATATTTCGCAGCCATTAAGAAGAATGAAGTAGGTCTAGAAACAGAGTCACAGATGTAGAAAACAAACTAATGGTTACCAGGGGGTAAGGGCGGGGAGGGATATATTGGGAGACTGGGATGGAAATATACACACTACTATATATAAAATAGCTAACTAATAAGGCCCTACTGTATAGCACAGGGAACTCTACTCAATACTCTGTAATGGCCTATACAGGAAAAGAATCTAAAAGAGAGTGGATATATGTGTATGTATAACTGATTCATTTGCTGTACACCTGAAACTAACACAACATTGTAAATCAACTATGCTCCAATAATAAAAAAAAGAATGCAGTAGGTCTATAGGTACTGATCAGAATATCTCCAAGACATATTATAATATAGAAAAAAAGAAACTGTGGAACAATAAGCACAGTATGAGGCCATATATGCAAAAAAACCCTCCGCGTGTATTTGCACTTAAATGTATGTGAGAGAAAGGGGACTAAAAGGACACCCACCACACCTAGAACTCAGGGTACGTCAGGGGTGGGGACTGGAACTAGGGGCTTCCTCAGGGGGGTAGTCAGTGTGCTTCTGCATTGTTTGCTTCTTTTACAGCATGAATGTATTCACACACTACCTGTGTAAAAACCATTTTTAATACACGAAAAGTGAGTTCTGGCTCAGCTTTGCAGCAGGGGTAATTAGGCTGCAGCATCTGAGAGGAGCTAAAAGGCAGGCAAAAATGAAAGCGTGCTCCTGAGAACTGGGAGAGGCCCCACTCCCCTCCCCAATTACATTTCCTGTTTTC